TGAATATTATTGGGAGGGCGCTGTCATATGGGTGCCGCATGAATTGCAGGAGCATTCCTGAGATGGAATTCAGAAGATACTGGAATGAGAAATTCGGATCGAAATTCCGAACAATTTCAACAAATTCTCTAGTCTGCTGCTGTGTCCGAGGGTTGCCGGGTCTCAGACCGCGGAGAAGGAAGTGGGTATTGATGTGTGCGTACGTACAATGTGTGTTTGTCTCTCTGAGACGTGTATTCTTCTTCTCCCTCCATGAGGTGTTCTGTGTTATGCGCTTTAAGGGTGGTGTTAATCCCCATGGTTGCGTTGGTCTTGGGGCCAAAGGGCCAAGATTTTGGGCCGAAAGAAGATTCGGCATTTGTAACGTCCTCCGCTACTATAGAGAGAGCGGGAGAGACTGGTCTGTCCGAAACAGGCAAAGATATACCGGTTACAGAATTCGGAGGCTTTGCTCGCTGTAGCCTGTGTTGACGTGTTGGACCTTACGCAGCAGGGACAGGGAGCACTGTGTGCAAGCCGGCGGTCTGGCCTGGTGTGTTGCTGTATGATGTGCAGCTTTATGAAATTATTGTTAGAATAAAGGTCACGTAGTTGATTGAAGCTGTTCGGGTGTGGTGAGGGAGGTTGTATTACTTCCGAGCTGACAAGGTTCAGTGGCCAAGTCCAGGCATTTCCCGCAACCATGGGGGGAAGTCACGGAATATTTTAGGGGGCGGTCGCTATGATTGGGCTGTGACCCCCGATCCAGCAGGTCTGTTCTTCGTCTCCCTCTCCATAAGGTCACAGAAGAAGGGAAACCCTCTGTACTTTGAGCCGTGCTCCCAGGTCTTGCACAGCGCGCAGGTCGGAACAAAATATGGGAGAAATCTTTTTACACATTGTCACGAACAATGTTCATCCACGCAGTGGGTACAGGCCGGAAGGGCCTGACAGTTTGCCGCCACGTGATAAAACTGTAGGCACCGTGCGCACCTTATAAGGTTCCACAGTAATTTTTATGAAGCAGAGATGGGACAGCAGAGATCTTTTCACCAAGTTAATCTTCATATGTAAGTCTTGAGGTTCTCACAGCGGTGAGCTTGAAGATTTCCGTCTTCTGTGTTGTTGTGCTGTGTAGTCTGATCGATGTTAACCAACGTTTCAGAGGTCACATTGCCTCCGTCATCAGGGCGATGAATATGCCAAGAGCAACCAACCAACCAACCAACAAAAAAGCTAACTGAGGGCGGAGGCCTGCGCTAGCGCAAGCATCGTTTCTTCCAAGGTGAAACCATTCCTGTGCACAAGGCGCATTGCTGGAAATGGTAAACGGTCTAAATATAAAAAACGGAAATTTTGCTGACGCCTCGACCATTCAAACTGGGATCTGTTGCTGCTGATGGGAGGTTTTCCCGTCAGGCAAGTTGTCCAAAAGAATTTGCTTGGTTGGATCTCTGGGATTTGAACCCAGAGAGGGAGGGGCCGTTTCGGCTGATGGCCTCCGCGGCATGGGGGAAAGATCACTTCAGCTGATTGCCTCCATGATCGGGGGGTGGCGGGCCGTGCCCCTGAGGAAAACCACGCAACCTCAATCAGGGTAGCCGAGTAGTCTAACCACTCTTTGTGCTGACTTGGCCATCTTTTGGGGATCACAGCGTGCGAAAGGGGATCGCGGCCGAAAGGACGGCGTATCCACGCGCCCACGTCGGCGCCAGCTAAGTCTTCTCTGGAACAGGAGAACTTGGGCCCTGGGTGGAATCACGTGGTCCGTGGTGGCCGCGTCGTCAAGGCTCAGGCTATGAAGAACCCCGCCCCAATGCAATCAGGCTCCATTGCACAGACTGGACGGCAGGCAGTCCCTAAGGATGGCCGTGCCAAGCCTGCTCGTCCTGTGGTAACGGTGGCAAATCCCACTGCACCTGCTCCCACGAAGACTGATCCCTCCCCAGCAAAGGGTCAATCACCACTCCAGGACATCTCAGATATCCTGGAGACCCTCTCGCCACGGGTCTGCGTCGGAGGGAAGGGATCGCGGCGAGGAAACGGTGTGTCACACGCCCTTTCCTCGCCGCGATCTCTTCCCACAAATCCGGGGACGCTCGTTCGCGAGCCATCCTCAAAACCGTTCTCCTCTTCATCACCGAGTATGGTTGAACGGCCTAGAGGACACGGTGGTAAGGACTTGCGGCTGGCTTATTGGAACGCGACGGTGTTCGCGGCAGGAAGCTGGAGCTGGAGCAGTTCCTCGGTGACTAAGGAATCGATGTTTGCCTCCTGAACGAGACGCACCTCACGTCGGGTCGGGCCTTGAGGTTCACGAACTACGTTTGCCTCCGTACGGACCGCCCGACGCAGGAGGGCAACACAGCGATCCTTGTCCGCAGGGGCATTGATCATTACCCTGTGCCGGTCTCGGGTCTGCAGCAACAGGAAGGAACCGCCATTCACCTGGTGCTAGCAACCAGGAAAGTCCGGCTCGTGGCGGCATACCTCGTACCCACCCGGCCCTGAATTGAGTCGAACCTGACCGAGCGCTTGAGCGGGTGTTTCCCAATCCTAATGGCTGGTGACCTCAACGCGAAGCACACGGACTGGGATTCTAGGCTGATCTCTGCTAGGGGCTCGGTCCTGCGTGATATATTTTTTTGTAGTGTTCTGTCTGGCGACAGGTCCATATGAACAGGATCCTTCCATCCTTTTCTCGGACTGGGACCTGTTCATATACGTTCTTGGCAGATGATCCAGAAGTGGTTTGCCATTGCCTTCGTCTGTGTGTGAATGGAGTAATTGTTGGGATGCCACGGAGGAAAACTCCGTGTTGCCTAGACCAAGGCCTTGCCCAACACAAGTTATAAATTCCGGCACCGCCGGGAATCGAACCCGAGACCCCAGGATAACAAGGATAGCGTTCTGACCGCTAGACCACCGTGGCGGTCGTATTTTGATTTTATTAAAATATATTAAATAATTTCCTACTCCGGGTGATCAGTTTTACAACACTGCAATATTGTTGTCTATTTGTGACGTCTATAGATAGACAACGCACATTTTGCACCACTGAAGTAGTTCTGGTTGTAATGAAACGCGTGACCTTGAGTCCTCTGAAACTGAAAATGTGTTATGTGCGCGTCGTTCAAGGCCGTGTCCAAACTTTTACCGATTGTCCTTTGTTAACTGAAGAGTACCACCCTTCCTTCCGGACCTCTTACTCACCAGACATAAACACACAAACGTTTCTCTGGTTCTGCTTAGACTTTCACGCAACGGCGTCGAGAAGTGACGGACATTTTAGTCAAAGGAAAACCAGATTGAACGAACCTGGGCCACTGAAACGAAAATGTTCGCAACGGTAGACTCCATCCAGTAATGGCTGCCTTTGCTGTGGTCGAACTTCGCGATTGGTTACAGAGACACCCTGATCTGTTCATGGACAGAGGAAAGTTTACTCCCTTGAGACGAAAAAGCCAGTCGGTAGCCTCTGGACCAGATATCGACATCCATTAAGTTAACGTCGAATGGACTTTGTACTAAGCGATCGTAAAATCCCATACAAGCCTTCGGATTCCCTCTTTGGGACTGATCAAAGCAAACAGGGCCAGTGCAGACTATACTCGTAAGAAACCCGGCACAGATACCATCTATCGTAGGGGCGTGCCTCGACTTAATATTAACTTGAATTGTATAACCAGCTGTCTTCGAGATTAATGAGTACATTATACAGCGTACATAAAGCTAAAAGCATTCTATTATCGCCACAGTCGTAGACATGATCTGACTTCCTCGTTAGCCACTGTTACTCCGGTGACAAATGAAGACCACGAGCTCTACGCAAACATTTGAACCACAGTGGTCACTACACGTAACACCTACCTTAACACCCAATAATGACCACCGAGTGGGAATAAGGATTTCAGATAATTCTCAAAATTAAACGGCAATTTTTCCCCTAAATACCACGAAACAAATGATATTCGGAATCGAGAAGCATTTCTTTGAGGTGTAAACTCAATGTTGGGTCTGCTTTATTCCAATGTACGCGAAAAACGCCTTATGTGGATGCCTGTTGGCCTGCCATCTGTCAGTGACCATTTCAGGCAAGCTCGTTAGTAAACGAGGGTCTGGCCTTTCCTAGTCTTGCCAGCTATGCCTGGACTTGCCTGGCCTCGCGTGGACTCGACTGCCAGTCATGCTTGGCCTCACGTGGCCTTGTCTGGGTTTCCCTGGCATTCCCTCGCTTTCAACAATGCCAACAGATATTTGTTTACACGGCATTGTTGTGTTCCACGACAAATTGGTTGAAGACAACGAGGAATCACAAATTTTTATTGTAAAAAGTTATAGTAACTTAATCAACCCCCTCCTTCGGGGGGGTTGGTCAAATGTTTAAATCGCAACCAATCCCTCTTCGTGGGTTAGTTGCGTTTTAAAAACTTGAGTAAGACATTAAACTACTCTCCCCCTTCGGGTGGGTTAGTTTAATGTCTCATTCAAGTGTTTTAACCCTTGAGTAAGAAACTAAACTACCCCCCGAATGGGGGTTAAAACACTTGACCAACCCCCCCTTCGGGGTGGTTAGTTTAGTGTCTCATTCAAGTGTTTTAACCCTCCATGACCAATGTCCGCACTTTGTCAATGACATCAGCATTTCGGCTCATTAACGGTTTCTCGGAACGCTAGTCCACCAACATGCGGCCATCTTTAAAGCGGTTGAACCACTCTTTAATTTGAGTGAACCCCATTGTATCATCGCCGAAAGCCTGCTGATTCTGCGGTTTGTTTCGACTTGGGTATCCCCAAGTTTCTGACAAAACTTGATACATTATCGATGCTCCAAGCGTTCCATCATCTTAAGCGAAACGAGAATGCGACGTACACGTGTTACACCACTTCGCTATCTGGCACACACAGACGCATCCAGTGGTGCTGCGAGGAAGAGATCTCGCATGAAAGTCCCTTCTACCACTACGCTCAGTTTCCCCACCCTTTCGCCATTACTTACCGCGGAAAAAAATATAGTCGGATACTTTTTGTCCTTTATTCACGTAATTAAAAATTGTAGCCACAAAGGTTTAATATTAGTGATAAGGAATTCCAAAAACACTACAAATTCTGAGCTAGATTAATATGATCCATACATCAATCTCTGTGTCAGTATTAACATAAATTGTATCTATTTGTCACCGGTTCAGATTAAGTATTATGGACATGGTTCAAACTGAGCAAGAAAAATATGTTACATTAAATACAGTAGCTGAGTTAGCCATAAGCTGGTACAGATCCTTCTTCTCTTAGTGTCTTGTCTTGTCTGTTCTTGTAACGGTATAAAGTTCCCTCTTCAATACTGGAATCTCTGTCTATCTTCATTCTCTTAGTCTGAGGTGAAATCATCTCACATTCGGTTTCTTCATTAAGGTACTTGCCAGGAACACTAAATATTTCATAATTTATTGTAGCTGCATCCCTAATAAAAATATGCTGCTCACTTGTAGATTTTGGCACCATATTGTTCATGTAAGATTTGTAGAGTGTATTTATATTAACATCCTGTTCACCTGCTAGCAGCTTTTCCTCATTAACACTTGTGTACATATCACTGTTTGAGCAAGATGACTGAAGAGGAACTAGTTTGTCAGACTTTACTAAAGCATAATAACACTTGTCTTTTTCTACTGTCATTGAATTGGCTACACTGTCACTGCCACTACTATTCTCACTAGCTACAGATGAATTCAGGAGTAAGAAATCTGTTAAGAGCCAATATGTACTGGATTCTTCACAGTGTGTAGGAAGAGATAAATTCATGTGCTGGTTTACTGTTGAACTGCAGCTGATGTTATTTCCCGTGTACTCCAATAGGCCACTATATGCACCCCGAGACTCCATATTTTTGGAGCAATTTTCACTATGCACATTCTCAGGAATTCTCTTACCAAGTAACACAGAATTGCTGCCATCTTTGTCAATTCTTGCATTATCATGTGACACAATGTCAATACTGTTTAGATTAGAAATGTCGTCAGCTTGCGAATTCATGTTGTTGGCTGCAGGATTTTTATTATTAACAGCTGTCAATGATGGTGTCATTTTTCCACTGTTTGTAATACCTGCACTGTACTTGAAGTCCTCTCTCAAATTATTATTTACTGGAGCCTTGTTACAGATAAGCACAGGTCTGTCAAGTAAGAATGAATGGTCAAAACTAGGCATACCCAAAGAGCAAAGTGGTGCTGCCTCTGAGTCACCTCAATTTATCTCATGTTCACCTGACTCGCAGTGTGGCACAAGACTTGCTACTAAGCTCACTGCAGGAGACGCACTTGGTTCACATTGTTGAGGAAAAGGCTTAGGTGGTGGGTAATATACTTCTCCCTTCTCTGGTAGTTCAGGTGACACAGCCAGCTGGTGTATACCAAACACATCAGGGTACCTGCAAAAACATTCTGAGTCTATGAAATAAAAATAAAAATTCTGGATATATTTACAGGTATGAGTTCAGAAGCGCATCAAATACAATAGTTTTCAAAATGGTCACATTTAGCTGAAAGATGATGCTGACCTCTCACCGACATCTAATGCCAAGGTCAATAATGGGCAGGACCCATACCGCCTCTCCCCCCAAGCGCTTACATGGCACATAGTGGGACAATAATAACTATAAAAATATATGAAAATATACTGTAATGTTGTTATGTTGACAGTCCATCTACACAATAATATTGTAATATATGTTACTGGCAATATAAAATCAAATATACACAATAACACAGATTGATGTGTTAATGGAACTTCTTCTAACATTATGGACACTCAAATTAAGAAAGGCATAAATCATGAGAACTAGGCAGCAAAATTCAGTGCTACTCAGTGGTAAAACCACTGTACAACTGCGGTGTTTATTCAGCAGTACTTTAATGCCCGTTAATTCTCAGAAAATTTGAGCATTATGGACTGATAATTTTTGGAGGGCATCTGCCCATGAAAAATACCTTCAGAATGTAAATGTTACGTTAAACACACAAATATAATTTCAGCTCCTACAAACTTCATTAAATATGTAATTACGAGGCGCGTCCACAAAGTAAGTTTCCCACTCGTCCCACAGCTAGCAAACCTTATATTGCGCGAAGCGACTGTGCGTACGTGATAGAGCAATGACGTAGCATGGCGCATGCACTAACGGCACTTCCCGCGTTCTCACAGTAGCATCGT